CAGATCAGTGCGCTGTGGAAGCTGTTGGCAAGCGCTGGCCACGATAAGAAGGTAATGACCCGAAGGGTCCTTGGTTGTGTGTCGGTCGGTGTCATGGTTGGAGCTGGGACGTTGAGTGTGAGTCGCGAGGAATGGGTGTGAGTGGGCAGTGGTGCCGGAAAGGGCTCGGGGAATAGACGTAATCGTGCACTGCATGCGCGAGTGGTGGATGGCGCGAAGTACGGTGTACTGTGTAGTCGCTTGTGGGGGATGATGGTTCCCCAGGGATGACCAGATTGAGAGAGTGGTGAGTCTCGGAGATGCAGTTTTTTTGAGATGTGAGTGGTGTTTGATGGACAGGCTGTTTTGTGGAATATGGATGCATTGAAGCTGAAGAGTTCGCTGGAGGAGCACTCTCTGCTGATAACTGACGTTCGGTTCAGCCCAGGTTCAACAAGGCTGGCAACGTCATCTTTCGACAAAACGGTGCGGGTGTGGGACGCTGACAGTGTAAGTGGGCAAGTGACTCGTCGGTGAGGGCGTTGGCGTGGTTGTGTGTGTGTGATGGTACCTTTTTGTGGCATGCAGCAAATTTACTGTCGCCATGTCTTCGATGGGATGCCCGTTGATTGGAATGTGATCATAGTGCCGAAAGCTGAAGGGTAAGTTTAAAATGGGACATGGGTTGGGTGTGATTTGCGCAGCCAACTTACTCGATGCGGACCTTCACTGGCCATCAAACGTCGGTGATGTCATTGGATTTTCACCCGACGAACGAGGATCTTCTGTGTTCGTGCGACGGGGACAGCGAGATTAGGTACTGGAACGTGAGCCAGGGAGTATGCACGCGTGTGTTCAAGGTACGTGACTCGAGTGGACGCGGGTAGATTGCAGTATAGAGCAGCGCAGGAATGATGTGAAAACGTGGTGGAGTAAACAAGGTTGCGTGGGTGATGTGCAGGGGGGCATGACGCAAATGAGGTTCCAACCTCGGTATGGGAGGTTGCTTGCAGCAGCGGCGGAGAACGTGGTATCTATATTCGATGTGGAGTCGGAAACTTGCGTGCACACGTTACAGGTGCGTGTTTGTGGAGGACAGTGAGTACCTTGGCAGGGTCATGCAGGGGAGGGATCGGTGAAGGAATGAGTACAGAAGCTGACGTGAGAGGTGTTGGTTTTGTTGAACAAATTGTGGACGGTGTTGGTACAGAATGATGTCGGTGGTGGTGGTGTGGTGGTCTCGTGGGTAGGTGGTGGGTTCGGCAGTGGAGTGTGGGAGATTTTTGTGACGGTTGTGGTGTGGTTATTGAGAGGGCAGGATGGTAGGTGTGACGAGGGTGAAAGGGCTGAGTGTGGTGACGGTGGGATTGTGCAGAGACATACGAAACCCGTGCACTCGGTGTGCTGGGACGCGAGTGGGGACTTCGTGGCGTCGGTGAGTGAGGATTCGGTGAGGGTTTGGAACGTGGGGTCGGGCGGAGTGGAGGGCGAGTGCGTGCACGAGTTGAGCTGCAACGGGAACAAGTTCCATTCATGCGTGTTCCATCCGAACTATCCGTCGTTGCTGGTGATCGGATGTTATCAGGTAAAGGGGCGGGGGAGATGAATGCGTTGATGATAAGGAGGTGGGGTGCAGTGGGATAGGGTGGGAGCGTGCATGAGGTGTGATGTTTGGAAGTTGAGGGGGGCGTGGTTGGTTGGGTAGTGTATGAATGGGCGTGCGTGGATGAGATGTGGTAATGGATGGTGCATGTGGATTGAGGTGCAGTCACTGGAGCTTTGGAACATGGTGGAGAAGCAAAGCATGACGGTGCCAGCGCACGAGGGTCTGATAGCTGCGCTAGCGTCATCAGCGGCTACTGGGATGGTTGCGTCGGCGAGCCACGACAAGACGGTGAGGTTATGGAAATGATGGGGATGGGGAGGTGCGGTAGGAGACGGGTGCGAGGCCAGGGTGGTTGGGGAGTGGGAAGGTTGCAGCAGGGGCGCAGCGGCGGTGGCGGTGTGCAGGAGGTTTAGGAGATGTTGCGAGGGAGGAGTGGGGTGACGTGGTTTTGAAGCGAAGGAGAAGGTGGTATGGAGGGGGATGGGGGTAGTGGGTATTAGTGGGTATGTTAGATGGGCGTTCGGAGGACCTGAGTTGGGAGGACTCGAGGAATTTTGGAAAGGTAGGGGACGGTGTTAGACGAGGAGGCGGAATTTTGAAGAGGCGTATGGGGTTAGAAGATGGGTAGCTGGCGAGGACGGCAGAGCGGAGTAGGTAAAGGATTTTTGGCAGGACGGGCTGAAGCGGAAAGATTGAGGCGAGCAGCTCCTGCAAACAGCAGCGAAAGTTTGTAGAAAGTATGTGAAATTTGGAATTGGGACGTGAGTTTGTGGAAATTCGTGTGATGCTCGTTTTACGTGCGTTGTTTGCGCCGTGCAGCTCATGTTAGTGAACATATTGAACTGCGTTTGTTCAGAAGAGGGTACTGTATTAGTTTGTGGATTTGCTTTCGACATGACCGTTTGTGATGTTATCATGGGTTTCTCTGCTGGAGTTGTACGGCGAGTTTAATGTGAACATCATGCAGCAATTGTATGCGTGGATTCATTTCGTTGTCTAGTCTGATGCTGGGATGTGCTCATTTTGCAGCACTGTGTTAATGTGTTGGTCTTGATAGGTCTGGGTTTTATCTTCACGGTGCCGCAGTGGGTGCTGCATTTTACTAACAACGCGGATTTGTAGACATTCATGTTATTACTTTAGGCACATATCGCGGAGGAGCTTCATTACGAGCGCAAGTTGTAGTTAAATCTTTGGTAGTACACGCTAATGCCTTTACCTTACGAGACAGTCATTTAAACGTTTAATCATTTAAAGTTGTATCTACGAAGTGCGAATCAGTTATTAGCCCTCTACAATTTACAAATGGATCACACTTTTCTGAAGATCTATGTAAAAGAGATTAGGTTGAATGTGAAGATCTTAATGGTGTTTTGGAACTTAAAAGACTGTAATTGTCTGATGTATGTGTAGGGAAAGTTTTTTAATAAATGATATCTCTATTTGGCAGGTGATGTGTAACTGCTCATTAGTTTTTATTTTAATTTATTTTATTTTTTGCTACATTCATGAATTAGTGTTTATTTCAATCATTTTTGGTGAAAAGGAATTCTATCATACATCATTCAACAAACAGATAGGAATGAATATCTAAGTTATGAGACATGTATGGCTCACAATATCTAGGCTGTAGTTGAATGTTTTTCAACATAGTGATGTGTTATTAATTTTTAAACTCGTACTTTTTTGCACTTGTTTCTTTGCCTAAAAGGTATATTTTTTTTATAAGGTTTATTACAAGGAAGAATTAAAATCTCTTCACTCGAGTAAGAATTTATTCTGTTATAAAATTATGAATACAATAGAATATGATGAAAATTGTTAAATACAAAGTGCTTTCATAAATTTATTTTATCTGATTTTATTTTTCTGATTTATATTTATTAATTATTATGATTTGTTCATTATGAATTTGACTTACATCAAAAACTAATATATTTTTTAATTAATAGTAGTTCATTCTTTCAAATCAACACATTGTCATGTTCATACATCTAATTCATGTTTTTTTAAAGATTAATTTTTTTATATTTTCATCATGCAAATTATATTGTAATGATAATTTGTATATCTATATATATATATATATATATAGAAAGAGAGAGAGAGATGCTAATGCAACACCCTGATGTTGTTGGTGTGACACCCTCTTGGGTGTCACACTAACAACATGATTCATTTAGTCTATTCCATGTTTTTTGTTCCCAAGTATAGCTGGAGAATTTTAGATTCCATAGGTACACGAAACACAATTGAATGATTCAATAGTGTTTAAATTAAAACAAGATGTATCATCTTGTAATTGCAATACAACATCAACAATGTTTTAGTCACAAAATAATTTTATATAAAAGCATCTATGTTCAAGGTTATTGTTGCTGTTCTCAATGATTAAGAATAAGGGACGTGCAGTAGGAATGGAATTAGTAAGCCAAACACTTGACCTTGGCAGTGGGATAGAAGACATGGGTTGAGAATGGGAGATAGGGAAAGGGGACAGAGGACAAGGACATGGGATGGGGGGTGGATTGAATTAATCATGAGAACTTAAGGAGGTGTTGAGTTAACAACATGGAGATGTTGCTTGAACAATTTCCTGCATGTATATGTATTTCTCTCTCCAGTGTAACTAGAAACAATTGTTGAATATATTTTGAATAATACGTATATATATGTTAAACCTGAAATTATTTTTCTCGGCAGTAATTGACGAGGTCGACACAACAGGTCAGCGTGTCGGGAATCTCCCCAGTTGATACCCGGATTCTTCTTCCGATACCCTTAGGATATAGCATAAACCCGGGTGATACCCTCGAAACACCACAAACCCCTGCCAAGGTCAAGTGTTTGGCTTACTAGTCTGCTGTTTTTCCCCGTCGCTAAGCAGATTCCACTAAATTCTTTCAATCTGAGGGGCAATCAACATGCTTCGGCACTTGAGCGATTCGTCGAAGTTAAACTGTTTGTAGTTGTTGGATTTGTTGAAGATTCTTTGCTTTTGAACAGCGGCGGCTACAGAACTTGTAAGCTTTGGATATAAATCCCTGAAGAAAGAAGGGGACTATGCTGGAAGAGGCACTGGATTGGAAGGGAGATGGATTGCCGCCTGGTGCTCTCATTCTTATTGAAGATTGCGTGGCTGCAAAAGGCGGATTCCTTCTTACTTTCATGTTGAAGAAATTGCTCACGTCTTCTGCCCATGGTGATGGGAGTTTTGCGCGTACGCGAGTGGTGTTTGTGGCCATGGCGGAGCCGTTCTCTCATTATGGCCGGATTGCTAAGAAACAGGTGCGAGTAGTTAATTTCGCAGCTGAATAGAGTAGACAACGAGATTCTGTAGCTTTTGATGAAACTTAGGCTTGGATTAGAGCAATGGTTAGCTCAGTAGACCAGACAATTTTGAATTAGGGTTTATGGAGCACTTGTTGTTAAGGTCGTGGTAATGAATTCTCAACAGGATTTGATGTTTTATGATGGAGGTAGGGATGCAATCTGCTTCACTGCCGGGATAATGGGCAATTGGTGTTTCTTGATTTGATGGCTGCCGGCAATCCCCTCACCTCGCAAGTCAGAGGATCAACGGAGCAGGTTTCTTCTCCCCTTCAAAGGCTCTATCAAATAGTGTATGGTATTGTGAAGAAGATGAAGTCACATAATGCAAGCGATCGGACAGTGATAATGATAGACGATGCCTCTCTTCTTGAGATCTCTGCGGGTGGCAAGTCCGACCAAGTTCTCTCTTTCTTACAATACTGCAGGGCTATTCATACAGGGAATAATGTGAGTTTTAATCCCCTGCTATTCTTTCGATGGGTTTTTCAGAACTTCTGGTAATTTTAGCTCATTGATGTTGAGGTTGTTGCAAGGATTAGGTTAGTTTATTTGAATTTGAAATATCCCTTGTCATGTCAGGTTGAACATGTGATTTTCGAGCTATTGAATATCTTGAGTGATGTGCAGAGATGCTCTGTTGTTGTGCTCGTCCATGGAGATACGGACTTTAGATATGGTGCTGCAGGGCTGGACAGCGGTGGCTATGGTGAACAGGGTGGACAAACATCTTCATCTCTGGCACAAGAGCTTGACCACATAGCCGACGTCACAATTTCTGTGGATCCACTATCCACTGGTCTTGCAAATGATGTGCATGGCCAGGTTTGTAAACTCTAATGACACGAAGGCCCTAGATATGCTGATCAAGGAAAGGAGTTTTGCTGATTTAACGATAGTTTTCATTGCTTGGTTGATTTTATGTGTAACATAGTAGTTTTAGTCATTTTGGGAATTCCTGCGTCTTTGCAAAAAAAGTGGCGGTGTGGAGAAGTATTATGTGCTGATAAACGTTTGATTTGTGTCCAGGTAACTATCACCCATTGGAGTGACGTGCTCTCTAGTAGGGAATCACGACAGGGTGTGCAAACATTACAATTCAAGTTAATGGAGAACAATACTTCTTTCTTTCATCCCGGTGGATGTCTCTGATATGAAAGTAAACTCTGCTACTTTCATTAGTTTTGAGTTTTAAACAGGTCAGGTCCGTTGATCGTGAATAGAATCATTTTTTGCAAAAGATAGTCTGTAGCATAAGGACGTTTCAAGCTAGAGGCTTTTGTCTTAGTGAGTGTACAGTACTTTTGTTTGAATATACTGATGCAATACTAAGTGCACATCTGACACTAAAGCGTTCCAAAGTGCCATGTCCATACATTACGATGGGCTATCATAAATGCAACGTTTTTTTAGTATTATCGGGTGTGTCCATCTTTCGAAGTGTCTTCATCTTCTCAACAGTGCAAATGTGCTGTACCTCATCTTTGCTCATCTTCTTTTCGAAATTATTCAAGTTCCATCTCTTACTGAACTGGATGTCATCGTATCAGGTATGTTTGCTTTGCAGAGCCTCTTGTACTCTTGCAATCGCTTCGTTCCTCAACAGGAAAGTTCCTTTTCTTTTCTTTTAGTAGCGACGAACCCATCCCCCCACCGCTCTGGTCCCACAATTTCGATCGATCTCAAAGAGGCAGGGGCTTTCTCAAGTAAAAATTTGGGTGTCACTATGATGTCAAATGGGATGAGATCTAGCAAATATAAAAGTGTAAGCAATAAACGCCGCTTTCGGGCAATCAACTAGTGACAGGGTGACTAACTCACATCTCCAACACATATGCATATTTATCAATGTGTTTAATATTTTGAAAATATACAATAACTTGAGGGTGATTTTCAAATAGATTAGAATATTCTGAATGAAAAAAAAAACGTAATTAACATATCTATTTACTTATTTTTTAAAATGACTTATTAATATGTAGATTTTTGTGATGATACTGAGTGAGTTCAATGGGACAACAGAAGAAAAGAATAGTATACAACAAAATACTGAGATGACCTTGTTGCCATAGCCAGAAATAGAATATTAAGTTAGCTAATGGATGACAAATTTGTCTAGTATTGCAGTGAAATTTCAGTCAGAATATGGCAATACATCCATCTTTATATTGTTAAAAAATACAAAAAAATTACAACGAGAAACAGAATATGTATTACAATTTAATTAAGAAATGGCACTGATTGTAACACCCAAATCCTAAAGGCATCCATTCATCAGCTTCATGGCCGGCAACGCAACCATCTTGCATGCAGCATCATCGTTTCCTTGGTCAAGCTAGTTTCGGATTATTTTGCTAAGTTTTGTAAATGTTACGTGTATTTCATGTCATGAAGAGTTCATGCACACAAGGAAGATTCCTATATACGAGAAGCTACAAGATTGGAATTCCCTGCTCATCACTAACACACTACCCCTCCAACACCAACGGAAGATCACAACCGTCAGAGTCGTATTAAGAAATGCACTAATGCTGAGGAACAGTCTGCTGACATGAACAAAATTCTAATCTTCTTACTGAAGTTCATTCAAGTTTACCTCTCAGAATGGCTGAATTCTTGTCAGCTAAGAGCCACTGTCTTGTTGTACAAACAGCTTCACAAGTCAGTCGTATCAATCTGGGTGGTAATGGTAATGGCGGTTTTTATGTAGAGCTTCAATGTCCATGAATGCATCATTGTGTGGTGATGCTACCCAAACACCGATAGCTAGATGTAGTATTCATGATATTCTACGTAGGAAGAAGATTTTGATACTGGATGAGAACATTGAAATCTGGTTATGACAATGTGGGATTCTTCGAGGGCTTTGAGGAGTGGCTCATTGGTTCTCTTCTACACTTGACTTACTCCTGCGTCTCTTAAAAACTCAAGCGCTGTGGGTTCCCCAGTTTCTGAAGCATCAGCAGTCCCACTGAATGTGCTGTCGGAGTGTAGTTGAATCAGATGTCATGAACAAGCTGCGGTGACACAATAGTTCGTCTCTCCCCAACCACCTCGGTAGCAAAACACCAGTCACCTGACGCACATACGACAACCCATATGTCATGAACATCAGAACATTTGACGTCAGGATCAGCAACAATACTTCTTCGCTACCACACATGCATTTTGTATTCAACGTCGCTGGAGCTAAACGAGGACAATATATCTAAACCCACTAGCAAAAGCTCAACAGCAATAATGCAGAGCTCTGACGAACGAAGCCTTAGCTGTGAAAGCGTTCAGCTCCTCAGAACCCAATGCAACCGACTGAATGTACACGGCCACGGTTTCAGTGTGCGACCTCACGGTGGAAAAGTAACTCCCCACTGCAGGAGCAAGGACCCATTCAAACGTGAGCTTTCAAGGCCCTGCTGTGTGCCATGCAATCCAGAAATCAACAATCCCTATTATGCAGAATCCCGGCACTTCAGTATCTAGGCAAAATACAACCTGGACTTGGCGACGGACGATGATCCGCAAACCTGAGGAGGTGTCAAAGCTTGCCAGATTGCAGAGTTCAGCCGGCAAATGTCATGCATCTGACACTTGCGTTCCCAGGACTGATTGAGCTCATGTGCTGCGCCTATTCGTGACCTCCTTGGTCGATGTGAGGGCTTACGTCGCTGACCGTGCTGCGGTGAATTCAGGCACCGTAGCTGTGATAGCATGCATGCACTGTATCTATGAATTCATGCACGCACCCTGGCCGAGAATGCTTACATCTCCTCTCATCACAACACCTAGTTTGTTGTTATTTGTAACATGTGGTGTGAGTTCGAAGTCAAGTTCTAACATGTTTTTGTTGCTTTTTGTTCCATGTTGTAACATGTTGTGTCATCTGTTCAAAAGTATGAACTTTGCTGTGTGAGGTATTGGGTCTTTTTATTGGTTCATTGGGTCTTAGCTGACGCCCAGTTTTGGTATCCCTATGTAATTTTTTCTGAAAGTTAGGGTATAAAAATAGGTCTGGGGGTCATGGATGTTCCATGATGCAGCAGTAGCATTTGTTGCTTCAATTAAAAAAGAATATTGTATGAATATTCCTTTGGGAAGTTAACTTTCTCCCCTTGTCAGACGCATTCCACCTTCGGGAGAATCGTCAACTGAATTGATTGCGTTCAACAGAGGATTCTGCAACAATTATTCTTCACTATGTCTCTTGCTATTGTGGGTCTTAATGGAGGACAGGACATGAATATTTTGAACTAAGAAAAACGAGTTGGATTATTTTTTGTTGAATATCATCATTATCTTCTTTTAAAAATAATGTATATGTGTCCAGTTATGTATACATAAAAGGTTCTTTTGAATATACTACTATTGTAAGAATCGTTTTTATGTAGCATGCTTTTCAACTTACTCTTGTGTGTATTCTGTTTCTAGAATGTGAATAATTGCAGTTTTGATTCTATGGAAATACTTTTATCAAATGAAGCTCCACATATTTAATTTTACTTTAAAGAGTTATGATTTTTGTAGTTTTATTTTTTGAAAAACTGAGTACAAGTACATGTTATGATTATAATTGGCATACAATCTAATCCATTTGTAGTGAATAAAACTTAAACAACTAAAAATCCTCAAGTTTCTAAATTTGTAATTTAAAGCTCAATCTTATACATTGTAAGTTGTCTATTCATATACCAAGCTTGAACTGAAATTCTCAAATCTTAAATTTAGTTATATGGCTTCTAAATTTTATATCTGCACTTTTAATCTAAAAATTCTAATCTTTAATCAATCACATTACAAATAATAATAAATTTATATAAAAATAAATAAATAAAAGTTGGTTTTAAACACTTTAAATTGAATTTACACTGCGATTAATTGCTGTGAAGTACTGAAACTGGTGCTGGGCGGGTGGGTGGGGGTAATGCAGTTGGGGGGGGGGGGTACAGCCATTGCTGGAAGTGGGAGGTTAGGCAGGGGTGGTAAGAATTCATTTATTTAGAAACTTTTCCCTCACATGTAAATGTGTGAAATCACTCTTGATGTGATATATATACATATATTTTTATTTATTTTTATGATCAGATAGCTTCAAGTGTTGTTAGAATTTATGTTTATTTGCATCTATTAAAATTTTCAAAATGTTGTACTGTTATATAATAATGTGAAAATAAGTAGTATTTTGTTGTGATTTACTATTCCAGAATTAAAGGTATTTGAGCGTCTTTTAACCTTTTAAAATTGTAAATTACATTCTTAATAATTTTTTTATTAGATGTAATATTATGAATTTTATTTTATTTATATCATAGTCTAATAATTTATTGGTAATTTAAAAAACATACTTACCTAAATGATATAAATTATTCTTATTTCTTTTAATATATAATATAAATCTAATTAATAATATATTATTCCGATTTATTTTAAATACTATGTAAAAAAATTATGGTATTTAAATAAAAATTGATTAAATTCATATTTAATAATTTAAATTTCTCTAATAAATACAGATATAATAATTCATATTTTATACATGCATAATCCTATAATGTAAAATAAAACTTTTATTAAAAGATTTGATGGAATTTTATCAATTATCAAAATTAGCAATGATATATGAATTAAATGTAGTATGTTCCTTTTAGATTTCTAAATACATATACAAATATATATTATTTAATATTTTTTTATTAAAAAATATATGATAAATTATTATTCGCATTCATATATAAATAATTGTGTACCTTTGATTTTAAATGACGTATAAAAAATTAGTATTTAAGTTTTTAAAAAATATATAAAATAAGGTGTAATTTTTTAAAACATAAAACATAATTATATATGTGTATACATTTATTAACCAAGTAAGTTGAACGAAGTAAAATAAGAAAAATTAAAAATTATAGATAATATCATTTAAAAAAAAATTAAGAAAGTTTCTAAGTGGAATCAAAGTTATAAATGCACTACATATCTATAAAAGCTTCTTTTAGAAGTATCCTACTTCTAAGAAACCACAATAAAAGTAATTTTAAACTTTGGTATTGTGCTTGCAAGTTTTGTGGCTCTTAAGAAGATACTACACAATTTTTTTTTTTTTTTAAATTTTTTTATCACATATATATATATATATATATATATATATAAATGTAAGATTGATACCATCTTGATTCTTATCAATGCCTATCTTGTATTTTAATCTTGGTTCAAGACTTTTGTAGTTATTTATATTTGACAACAATGATTTTAATACCTTCTTATCTCATAAATTTACATCTTTTTGATATATATATATATATATATATATATATATATATATATATAAATTTTGTTTTTTATTTAAAATTAAACTTATATATAAGACAAAGTAGGTTTAATTTTTTAATATAATTTTTATTAAAAATATTAAAAAATATTAGAAATTATAAGATATAGTAATAAATATTTGAAAAATATATGGCTGATGATTTGTTTTGTTGATGAAATTTATCATATATAATAATTTATAATTTAAGGGTTTAATGTACATATATTGTAAAAATGTAATATATGATTAATTTTTTACAATATATGTACATTAAACCCTTAAATTATAATATTAGTACAAATTAATTATTTAATTTTTTTTAATGACATAAAGTTATTGATGCTATGATATAAGTAGCTTATAATATATCCCAATTATACCTTTAGTAAGTATGTATTAAATTATGTAAAATTAATCTTCAAAGATCATATCTTTGTATGTTATTTTATTTATGACATAATTTAAATATAATGTTATTTATCTTTTTTATTAATTTGATCACAATAATTTTATTCTTAGTCATGGTTCAAATGTAATGTTTTATTGAAGTTTTTATTTCACGGATCTATGATAAACTCTTAGTTCAAATCTGATTAATATTTTCTGCTAAGATGCTCTCATGAACATTACAGTAATCAAAACTAAATATAACTAAATAATAGCTTCTAACTTCAAGCAAATACTATACGACACTTGATACAAGTAAAAGTTGATAACTCAATAATTTGCTAGTGAATTGTGGTTTTAACTTTTTTAGAATATTTACATACACCCTCACATACAAAATAGAGGGTACCGTGTATCTTATGCAACTTTCACGTCATTTTATGAGATAATAAACGTCACTGACCAAATAGGTGTACACCTAGTTGTTAATTGTCTTGTTTGTGGTTGTTGTTGTTGTTGTATGTTTGTTTTGTTTTGTTTTTTTCTTTACAGTTTATAAACTACATATTCATTAAGAGTGTCTATATGTCTATCTATCGTACGTTATTATTTCGGTGAAGGCCAAGGTGCAAAATATGACAAATATACATTATGTTCTCATGAATCCCGCCGACTCGATATTGAATGTTAATAAGTGAGTCGATTAACGACGTGCCATAGAAAAACGAACCTTACGCTACGGATTCAAAACCCAGTGCAACATCCAGCGGAGCATCCAAAGCATACTGATTCCAATCCGGAAAGGCATTTTGGAGATAAACCAGGTTGGACATCGAGACAAACCGTCGGTTTTAATCACCACACATCAACCGAGATAGAAAAAATAAGAAAGAAGCAAAAAAAGAATAAAAAAGAAAAAAAAAAAAAAAAAAAAAAAGGAAAGAAAAAACGGTGAGGAGATCACGGTGGTTTCCCAAGTTTCCCCACTTCATTGCACAACTGATTTATTTATCTTGTACAGAAAGGACTAAAATACCCACATGTATATAACTGTTGCGTCGACGTCACGATTCTTAGGTTGTGAAGATGGCTTGGCATGGACGCTCCTGAGGATTGCGATCGGTCCACGCAGCTATAACGTAAGCTTTCATTACTGTTCAGAGTGTACTTGATGGCAGCGATGGTGGCCAACAGCTGTGGGACATCACTAAGATCTGCACTCCGCGGTGGAAGAATCAAATATTAGAGGTTGGCCGTGGGGTCTCCACTGCCATTGCTCTCCGGGTCAGCTCATGTCGACGTGATGTGGAGGAATAAACTATCTCGGCGAGGTGAAAGCGTATTCAACAAAGCTTCAGCACTAAAAAGACTAGGTTGAATTGAGATTAAAGTGGTCAGATTGGTGGTAGAGCTCCAATTTTGTAATCAAGCTAGCTGAATCAATACCGTGGGTGCGAATGTTACAAGGTGGTAGATTCAGTTGTTGACTTTTGAGGTCGCCACGAACGATACACGCTGCCTGCAATCAGCATTGGTTTGTTCAGATGGGTAGGGCGCCTTGTGGCAGGGTGCAATCTGAGGAAGGATTCTACAAAGGACCTTGGACCGAGGAAGAAGACGCTATTCTGATTGCCTTCATCAAGGCCGATGGAGAGGGCAACTGGCGCACTCTTCCCAAGCGCTCAGGTAACATGGTTTTGAATGAAACATATCTTCTTCACAGGTAATTGCATTGCTTTCCTCACGTTCTGCTATAGAAATGACCGATTCGATGCGCATTTTACAATGTCATGTTCGAGTCAGTCTAGAAGTATTGGTTTCACTGGACAAGAGCAGAGACTTGGAGATGGACAGTCAGGGCTAGGGTTGAAGGTTGAATAAGCAGATTCTTATCAAGGTTTGTTGATTGAATGGCAGGGTTGAAACGCTGCAGGAAAAGCTGCAGGCTAAGGTGGATGAACTACCTGCGCCCGGACTTGGAACGCGGGAACTTCTCTCCAGAGGAAGATGAGCTGATAATCAAGTTACACTCTCTTTTGGAGAATAGGTACCAAACAGCCAACTCGTGTAATCGTTTCTTCATTTGGTGACAATTACCAGACAGGATGCGAATTTGATAGAACGTTCACAAGATTGCATAGTCTCGGCTCTTGAGTGCTTGGGATTCTTCTACGCTCTTGAAGATGAGAACTAATCCTTGTCAATCACGTATCGTGCAGATGGTCGTTGATTGCTGGTCGCATCCCTGGTCGAAAAGACAACGAGATTAAAAATTACTGGAATTCTCGGTTGAGACGCAGGCTGGGCAGAATGGAATCCGATCCGATATGCCGAGAAGTAGTCGCAACACCATTATCAATCGCATCCTTGGAGTCATCCATCAAAGTTGAGGTGGAGAGTTCGTGCAGTCATTTGGACACCGGCGAAAGCTCATCTCTCGATTCCATAGCCACAAACCTCTCGTCACATTTCACCACCCCAGAACCTAGTGATCAAGAGGCACCTCTTTCTAGTGACGCTCATGACATCTCCAACTTCCCACAGTTTACTTTATTCCCCAGCGTCATTCGGCAAGGCGAAGCCATCACGTCCACGCCCAGCAGCCATGAGACTGTGGTCGGGAGACGATGACTGGGATTGTTGGCCACCCCTCGAAGAAATCGCCGAAAGAAGTCCCGCAGAGCAGAAGCCCTCACATGCCCAGCTGCCTGATAGCGGTCCTTTCCATCCTGCACAGTCTAGGGAGGATATCTCCTGCGGTGGCTTCGACTACCTCGGGGATGACATCTTAGATTTCGAATACGATAACCAGGAGACGTCTAATTCGCATAAGTTGATGCATTTTGCGCTCTTCGCACCCCTGCAGAGCAAGGCTTCGTAATCACGGCCCAACTTCCTGCACCGCAGCTTGCAACAGTTGCTCATGCTCACATGTTGGTATCTGTCACCGAGTTAGTGTGGATTTTATCGATTGGCATCTGTCTCTCTTTCGATCTAGATGTATATATCATTTAGATAGCGTGAGTTGTTGCGATTAGTCAACATCGCATGTGCGAAGTGTATTGTATGTGTTGTAGCTCCACACTGACGTTTCCAGAAAGGTTGCATCCTCACCGACACATACGCACACAAAATCAGAAGTCGGTGGAAACAATCAGCTCCCTCTCGAGTTCAATTCACTGATACAAAGTTCATTCTTCACGGGAAATTTTGGCTTCAGCTTTGAGCATTTGTTTGTTTTGCTTTTGTTTTGTTTTTCTTTACATGCAAAAGTTTGTTTCTATCCAACAAGGATTATTTGTGCTTTGAAAAGAAAATCATCTTGTACAGAATTGAATGATCTAGGATTTTCTTTCTGTAAAAAGTGGCTGAATAGGAAGAGGATTTTCTGATGTGGAACAAATAATAAAAAATGATGTTGCATGTACAATTTTACATGAAAGTTAATACTTAAGATGAGAAATTTTATTCTTCTTAAAGCACTCTCAATGATCTTTGTATTGCATTCTCTGCATTGTAGGTAAAAATTGTGTGTACATATATAGAGAGGAATATTGAATTGAACTATCATGTGACTTACAACAATATATAATTGCTACGTGTACTAAAACAAGTAGCAAATTTGGCATTTTTAGGTAGGTGAGGATTAGTATTATTTGGGTAATGATGATGAGACTTCCATTATTTCATATGGCAAAGGTTTGTGGCATGTTGATGCTTCACATTAAGCAATACATTGGTTTCATTAACATTGATTCAAGGCTCCCCTTAGCTTGCTGTAATTTCTTTAGAATAGAGGGATTTTCAACAAACAACTCTATTTATTCAAGCAAACAACTTTGGACCAATTGATGTTAATGGGATGTTATAATGGTGGATGTAACAATTATATTTTATTATAAGTCAAGTAGTGGATTGATTTAAGATTTACATAGGTTGATTTTGTAGTCTACTATATATATATATATATATATATATGAATATATATACATATACATATATTTTAAAATTTTAAATAATTCTTGAATATAAATCTAAAAGATTATAGTCCATCAAAAAATCATATAGAAATAAAAAAAGACATTTTTAAAAATTTATTAATTTATTAATCAATATGTAAATTCTATTAATATATTTCAATTGATAGATTTATTATGCATGATATTTTAATATTTTTAAGATTAGATAATATTAGTTTATAAGTCTTATTTAATTATCCAAATAAAAATAAAATTTAAATATTTTTGATATTACAAGAATCTTATAAGAAAAAATATTTTTAATAATAAAACTCTTTTTTTTAATTATACATATATTTTTATTTATTTCTTAAAATCGATGTCTAAAATAATATTTCTTATTTAGTTTTTTTTAATATAAGCTTATATAATAATTAAAAAAAATACATATTAAAAAATTCATCATAAATTTTTATTAATTGATTTTTTTTGTTTTTATTTTATGCTCTATTATCTTTAATTAAAAAATTTGATACTTAATTTGTAATATACTAGTTGCACATTAGGGTACCAAAGCATAAGAGCTGTTAGTTTTTATGGCCATTAAATATTACTCTATATATGCTTAAAAGAACATAATTTTTTGTAATATCCAACTTCACATTTTATGCTCGAGTAGAATATTTTTATAGTCTTTAATATGTAGTGTGTTAATTGTGTGAAGACAAAGGGATGGAAGTCAATAATTAGTAAGATCATTGCATATTAACCAAAAAAATGTAATAAAGTATGGTTCTTGTGACATCTAACTTCACATTTTTTGTTTCATTACCATCTTGTCAAAATTAAATAATTTATAATATATTAATTTTATATTAAGGCATTAAAGCATAAAAGTTGATATTTTTAAAGATATTGCATATCATTCCATACATGTGCATGAAAATATGATTTTTATACCATCTAACTTTATATTTTATACTCCATTAGTATCTTATAAAGATTTGGCTATTTAAATTGCAATAAACTATTGAAAGTCTTTAAAGAAGAACTACAATAATTTAAGGCCATTGAAGCATATTATTGTCAAGATTTGTATTTAATATCACTTATTAGCCAAGAAAACAACACGGCTTATTGAATGCTCTTTCTAGACATTCTTATCTTGCACCAAAATAAAGGAATATGGCTTTTAATCAATACAGAATTTTTTTGAATTTAGATTTTTTTTTATCTTTGAGTAATAAAATCATTATTTATTATTAATTCAATATTTCTTAATCAAGTTCAATTTAGTATGTTTTTAGATTTGATTTTGCATGATTTTAAGAATAAATCTTTTAAATTTCATAATACTTCTAAGTTTGAATTTAAGAACAATCTTTTTTATTTCAAGAGATGCTTATATATATTAAAAAATAAAGCATAATTTTGTGCTCTTCAAGCTTGTTATGATTTTCTAATTGTACAATATTTTGAATCAAAAGGCCAAATTATAAGATCATATTATATTCAAAATATTTTGGTAGCTTCAAATATAGAAGGTAATTAAAGATTTTTTTACAACCATTTGATATTTGTTCAAGATAAAAAAAACTCCTTATCATTGATCTTATGAACTTCTCCAATTACTACTGAAAACAACCATAGTTATCTATTTTTTTTTATAGATTTTATCACAAATCTTTCCATTTCAAACTTTTATGACTATATATTTGTGATAGTAGATCATTTTACTAAAATAACATAATTTGTACCATATGCAACATCTATCACAAATTCAAAAAATAACTAAAATTTTTTTAGATAATATTTACTATTATCATAGATTGCCAAAACATATCATATTAAATAAAATGATTTAATTTATATTTAGGTATTGAAGAATTCTTTTTAAGTTATTGAATATGGACATAAAATTATCTTTGGTCTTCTATTATCAAATTGATGGAAGAATAAAAAAGATGAATCAAATATTAAAATAATATTTGAGATGCTTTATTAATTACCATGAAGATGATGAAGATGATCTATTATCATTGACAAAGTTTGTATATATTAACATAGTCTACTTATCTACTCAATAATTATCTTATTTATTATAATTATAATAATCATCTATAATTTGATACTCTAAACTTTTTAAAAGTTAATAATCTTATTGCAAAAAATTTGACAAATTATTTATTAGAGCTACATGCAAAAATAAAGATACAATTGAAAGAAGCTCAAGAACAACAAAAAATCAACACAAATGTTTATTGCAAGAAAAAACTTTAATTCTACATTGGTAACTTGGTATAAATATTTTGTTGTAATATTAAGACTATTTGTCCTTGTAACCATTTGAATTATTATAAACTTAAGCAATTTTTTGTTTATGATTAAATCAATCTAGTTGCATATTGATTATACCTACTAAATAGAATCAAGCTATTAAAAATTAAAAATTATAGATACTTCTACATATATATATATATTAAATTAATAAAATTTATATATATATTTTTAAAAAATACAATAGTTTTAAGGATATTATAACTTTAATAAATACATAGTTTTAATATTTTAATATTTTTTTGTTATATGTCTATTCTTATTTAATTTTTTTTATAATTTGTATATTTTATGATTATGTTAACTAATAAAAAATATTTTAGTTATAAACTTTTATTTTCCATTCCATTATTTTAATCATTTATAATATTTGTGAAGGTAAAATTTATCCTTCAATCTAAATTATAAGATGTCTTTAATTAAGAGTTGGTTATAATTGATAATATGAAATGAGAAATTTGATTACTAAGAAATAAAGTTGATAAGCAAAAAAAAATTAAAAGAAATATAATCAAATAATTATATTCTAAAAATACTAATCAAAATTTATATATTAAATTATTATCTATATATATATATTTGTAAATAGATAATATTTTTAATGATATAATAAACATATAAATTTAAGTTTCTATGAATAAATTATGAAGGTTTAAAGATAAAAAATAATAAATAAAATAATAAATAAATAAGCTTTATCTTATTAATAACTTGCTTAAGAGACAAAGTACTTAAACTTCATTAAGGCTCATAAATAGTGTAGATAGATTTCTTAGAGAAGCCATAAAACATTATTTTTATACTTCAATCTACATCAAAGGTGCCACAACCTATATGAATCATGGGCATTTTTTTTTTTTTTTTTTTTTTTTTTTTTTTATAATTACTATATTAGCTTCATGTCCTCCTAGTTCATACTAATAAAATCACTTTTATATATTTTTGACCAGACCATGGTATGCAAAAATATCCAATTAGCTTAGGAACCTTGTAGGGACTTTAAATCTTGTTCAAATACTTTATAATAGCCCTCTAATGTCGTGAAATAATTTTTACTAAGGTCTTAAAATTTTATTCCTTTAATTTTTAATTTATTCTATAATTTTTTTATAATTTTTTAATTTAAAAATATATCAATTCTAAGCTTTTTTTTATCTTGATTATTTTTTATAATAATAAAATTAATTTAAATTAACTTAAAATTTATATTTTTCAATAAACTATTAAAAAGACATAAGGATTTGTCAAGGATATAACTCACAAATAATTAAAACTTCAATAGAGTCTTGTGCATTAAGAAAGAGTGGATATTTACTCAATGATAGTATAGTATTAAATCTAGAATAGCTAGTGGCAAAGACAAGAAGATTAGTAACAGTTAATACAAGAGTAAGAACAAAAAAGACATTGATAAGAATGAAGAAGTCATTACTTTTACCTCTATATATTTTATCTACATAAAAACTATGTGGTGACGTTCGATAAGTCCTTCAATAGGTGTTCAACTTGTAGTACATATGTCTAATTTGTAAGGTAAGGTTCTTATATTTGCACCATATGGCCAACTTATATGACTAGTGGCTAAGATAACAAGTAAGCCACCTGTATTTGCACCATATGGCCAACTTATATGACTAGTGGCAATAGGTGGCTTACTTGTTGGCTAAATTTTTTAACTTTCATCTAAAAGTTTTTGTAATACATAAAAAATATAAAATAGATAATTTTTTATATTTTTAAATTAAGATTAAAGATAGATTAAAGATAGAAGACTATTTTTAGTATCAAGTTGTATACTTCTTGTAGGTCTATTTTTGTATAAATCTTGATTTGATTCAATTCATCAAGAAGTCCTAATATCAAAGGTAGATGATGCCTATTTTTTTTATTGTAATGTTCTTAAGTCCTCTATAGTCCATACGCATTTGTAACA